GTTCTGTGATCGCGCTAAGAACAGGGTTCGAACTCTAGCGCGAAGCTCAAATGGATCGCGAATTTGCAACCCGTGTAAGAGGGTGTAGTGAAGAAGCTCTCTTCCTGCAACACTCAGCCGTATTCTATAGGCGTCAGCTCTAGTTAAACGGTACTATCTGCCCCACCATGCCGCTAGATTGCAGTTAATTTTGGTGGCGAGAGACCTACTCTGAAGGCATTACCCACTCCTTTCTACTCTTTGGCAGTTGTTGGGATAACCTGCTAGCATTAGTCGACTCGTATATCGTTACTGTTCCCTAATTAAAATTTGTTTTAACCTAGACGGCTAAATCATTGCGAAGGAAAAATACAGCCTAGTTCCTTCGTTGAGTCTGTTGGGACCTGATGCTGGCCATGTTCATGCGCCTTCTGGGTGCTCTGCATCGACAACTCCTAGTCCGAACTAGTCAAGAGCGTGCTATAGGGTGCAGAAAATCAATCCATATGTATGGGCCCAAAGCCTTGACATCTTTCATGCATAGAGCACAGCTGCAACCGTGGGTAGAGTACAAAACCGTTGTGTCCCTCTCCACCAAGGCTATGCGATGGATATCGCTGATAGCGCACATAACACGCCAATCCCATGTCCGCAAACAAGGGCCCTCTCCAACCCCGCCTTAGGCAACTGGCTGCGAAATTTGACTCTTGCCAGCACAACGCGCCGCTATCGGACATTGAACTGCTTGAGCTCTGTTACTCCGTCAATATTCATGATAAAATAGCGAAGGAGGCCGCAATGCTAGAGCCTAACTTACGTCACCTAGTCGTACTCTGCAACATGAACGGAGGCCTGAGCCGTAGCGTCGGCTCAGGGCTCCAACACCACTAAGCTGAGCCTTAGTCCTTTGCCGGCCGCTCAGACTGTGTTGAGACAATTATATGGTATTCTGAACATTCCCTGTGCCTAGTCCTGAGGCGTCCCTGATACATTTGTTCCTGGCAACGCACGTGGTCAAGTACCCGGCAATGAGTAGTGCAGAACACACTAGTGTGACGTCAGTGCCACAGCTGATTGGCCACGGCTTTCTTCCCCACAGGCGGCGAATCCTTGCACCTAGTCGGACAACGGTGTGCATACGCTCTCCACCTTTGCAGTCCCTGCGTGACGCCGTCAAAACTCATAAAGCTCAAAAACATCGCTTTTGTTGTCGTAGGCTAGGCGCTGTTGTGAACACAGCCTAATGTGCATGGCAAGCTCGTGCACGCTAACCACACGAAAGCAGCACCTGAACTTGAGGTTAGCGAGGCCACGCACAATAGCCATGTTCTATGGTGGCAAGATCTATAGACCTTGATCGGACCCATAGAGCTATCTGAATTTGGCTTGGAGCTTGATTCTTCGGCCGTGCCGTGACTGAGCAGGTGATGGGCTTGCTGCAACACCTGGAGCTTTCCCACCACCCTGACGCTTCGTAGCTATCCTCTTTCTTATGGCTACGTCTGCGGTAGCCTTAAGGCTCGTTCTTTTGCCTTTTCGGGACGTTTTAAGAGCTTGTTCAAGTCGTTGAGTCCTACGAGCAGCTGCCCTAGAGGCTTGGCTAGCTGCCTTCTCTGACTTCTCTGCCTTCGCCTTCTCCCTCACTATCTCACTCGTCTCTCGTGCCCATGCCTTTGTTCCTTTGTTCCGTTGTTACAGAGCTTCGAGTGCTTTTTCTCGTGAACCAGAATCTTCCTGAACCCCTTGCTTCGTGGGCAAGCGGGTCAACTCGAAAGAAAAGAGAGCGACTTGATTGGCTAAGCTTCTGTGCCTCCCTCCCTGTCATCCTTGTCCCTAGTAGTATCTTCTCTAAGGAACTACCTCTCTCTCCTCTAATCTGAGGCGCTGAGTACTGGAGTCGAGCTCTCTCCTGACTCCTGATCATCTGAGTTGGTGTTGCTGAACCTCTTGAGTAAAGAAGAGGGGTCAGGGTGGCATATACCGGTGGCTTTGAGGGATCGGAGTATTTGTTCCTCTTGGAACGAGCGCTGCCAGGGCTTACAAAATTGGGGAAGCAAGTCTCTTTCTTTGATCGTTGATAGCCCTTTTTTGTTTTTTTCCAAGAAAAGCCATGAGATCGTCAGAGTAAGCCTCTGAGAGAGACTTGAACAAGCACACATCAAGCGGCGGTAACGTATGTGACTGAATGCGCGCATAGATTGCATAAGAACGGTACTGAATTCGTGCGCCCAGTGCGCATGACCGCGATGTGCAGCCATCGCCTGCCTGCTTGGACTGCACTTCGGAGCTCTCAGCCGACAATGAGGAGGGGTCATGATTACAGACTAGCTACGGATTGGTCACCTTACACTGCTAGTGACTGCAGTGTAAGAGAGCACACCTAGAGACGGGGATTAATGAGCAGGCTCGCGATTGTATAGCACGCATGTCATTGTGTCTGGTGGCATGCAACTCCAGAATACGTGTGGAGGCGCCGGGCAATCCTCTCAGCAGTCCACCCTGGAATCCTTCGAGGTTGCGTGTTATCATGCAATTGCGTGTCCTGCAAAGCGCTGGAAGGCAAGCCCGAACCACTCTGGAGGCTAGGTTCGCCGATCCTTTTCCGCGGCACAACGTTCCGAGCCGCCAATGTCCCCAACTCATGCTAAACGCGTCTTCCATTGCATGCAAAGACAAAGAGTGTGGAGAGAGCAAATGCGCCGCATGACGAAGCATGCGCTAAGAGTGGGCGTAGTGGGAGAAATTGTTTGCTTCGATGTGACCCCCAAAAATTGAGGCTCCACGCTTCATGTCGCATGCGAGCACCCTACAATTCCTCTATAATGAGAAACTCAAACTTCTACGCTGCCCAGTCGACTTTCGACTTTACACTCAGCGACGAATGGTGTTCGGGGCAGCCAAGCAGCCCCTACCTCGTGGACGCCTGCACTTCGCAGCTGGACGAGCTTCCCTGGGCTTTGCCTGACACCTTTGTCGGCCAGGCCATTGCGCGCTATAACCTTCCGAACGATTTCTTGTGCAGGTCCTCAGAGGTATCAACAACTGCCTTTGCCACTGCGGTCAACGTGGATGCGAACTCGACCCAGATTCTGTCGTCCGATTGCGTATCTCGACGACAAGCTACGCCAACGTCCCCTTCCTGCAGCGATATGTCATTAGATGGTCCGTCCTGCGCTCCAAAGTGTGAGTCTTCTTCAGGTCAACACACCACTCGCATCCCACACAACATGGTCGAGCGGAAGTACCGTGATGGCTTGAATGCGCAGCTGGAGAGGCTGCGAAGAGCCGTACCGGCGCTGCTGCAGAGCGATGATGGAGACAGCACTAGCCAACCAAGACCAAGTAAATCTATGGTGATTGCCGCCGCCATCAACTACATCGAGACGGTCACACTGGAGCGCGATATGTTACAGGCCGAGAACAACAAAATTGGCAGTTCGAAAGGCAGACGGGGGTCGAAGAGAAGGCGAGTGAATCCTGCTTCTGGGTCAACCGTTTCTTGAGTGTTGTAGCGAGCTGCAACTCCAAGAGTGTGCCCGACGATGTGGGCACAGTATTATCCTAGGGAAGCGTGTCGTCTACACACGGTAAGATTGATAGATAAATGACATAGCTTACAAGACGCTCTAAGACCTACATAGTTCTTTTTAGAAATCTTAGAGCTGTTACGTCTCCCAAGTCGTTAGGAGATACAGAGTGCCAACGCCTAGACTTAGCGTCTAAACCATGCTGAGGGTGTTTGGAAAGAGGACCATACGGTAGGAGCCCGCATCGGCTCGGATAGACTGGCAGCGGATTTTGTCTGTTTTTATAACACCGACGTGCCACGGACCCCTTCTTTTTCTCAGTGTCACCACACCTCTCATTGTGCCAGCAGGAGCCCCGAGCGCTGAAGATTACCAAGAAGAAAGTCGGTAGACGAATGCAGACGTGCGACAAATGTTCAGGTATTACAAATACTATCTGCTGATGTGCAGTCTTGTCAGACGATCGCGTGAGGACGTACGATGGAGACCTGCCCATGAAGCAGGACCTCGAGTTCTATGCTAGCAGGCAAAGTGACCAAAAGAGACACCAGGAAGCTGTAAGCTGTCGCTGATGCCACTGGCACTCTAGTTATGGAGTCCCTAAATACTCACTCAGTCTTAGGCCAAGGGTCGACTACTGTGGCTCCTTTCTGTTTTGGTGATCTGGCTCGATCCTCTTGGTAGTCATTTGTGAGTACGCTCCCGGTGGATGCGACTGCCAACTGCTGCCGGGCGACTGCTTGCTGCTCTGATTGCTTTCTAATAACCACTAGAGATTAAGGAACAGTATATACTTTGCATGAGCTTAAATTGAACTGCGAGGCAACATGCTCGCTTGGATAGTAAATTAAGAGATTATGTGTAGCTGCTACTCAGGCAAGCCAAAGCATTGATCGCAATTAGCTTATCCGATATCACGAAGAAAATGGGAAGTGTAGTTACTAGGCTACTTGATGGTACAATCCGTTTGAGCGGGCGGCAATTGATAGATGCGGGTGACACTGGACAACTTTCGGTTTAATGGAGGAACGTGTTACTTTGACTGGACTGCTCCCTTTCCTCATTTTCTTGAAGTGAGGTATTGCCAACGTCGTTTAGTGTTCTTGATAGCGCCACATGGGGGGGAAGAACATGTCTCAGGAATGCTTTACCTTAACTTCGACTTACCCCTGCGCCCACAAAGGCTGCACTGTGTGTTGGAATGTCCTAGCTGATCTTCCTGTGAATGTAAATACTTTCGTATCTGTAGAACCTTGTCGCTATGGTGGCAAAACCTAGACCGACGAAGACCATGTGTTGCATCATAACGAAGTGGCAGCAAGCGTAGAAGTAGACAACGACAGATGATAAACATAAAGGTAACTTATCAGGAAGGGCTACAGCCAAGCTACAGAGCCTAACACATGCACTTGGTGGGAGAGCTACCGCAACGCTAAGAAGGAAAAGAAGGACTAAAGAGAATCACACAGTGGGCAGCCTTCGACCAGAATGTTGAGGATCAGGCCATGCCTTGGTGGGAAGCTAGACGGAACACAGACCCAGAGACAAGAAAAAGAGGGTTCGCTCTTTGTCTTCTCCAATACATCTAACTACAGCGAATACCTGTCGCTATCTCTCGATCTTGCACCCCCTCAGTAGTCGTTTCCCTCTACATCTTTCCGCCCAGCTGCTCATTTCCCTCCCTTAGCCCATCCCTCTTATGCTCAATCTTCTCAATGTATGCGACTACGCACGACAGCTGTCGCAGGCCAAGTGTTGTCATGAACATGGACTTTGTTACTAATAGCGCCGTGAGACAACATGCACTCCCAACTTTTTCATGTCCACAATACCCTCACTTAATCGTGTGACAAACGAGCATATCTCTAGCAACGATGGGCTGACATCAAGAGCTAACATCACGCCTGGAAATGACGGACTATCACCGCCCGCTTCTCTCCATCGTCTTCTTTTGAGCCAGAATTTGACTATGCGATTACTAATATTGCTTCTGCAAAATTTGCACGTGCGGTTATCTATGTAGCTTTAGTATACTAGATCGAGTACGCCTAAGAACATTTTATAGGGTTTTAGTCTCTTTAAAGTGGCCTGATATGTGTCCACCTTAGATATTCTCTCACGTACGTTTAAGGTTAAGAGCGCTTCATATCCCGCAAGATCTCGCACCACATCATGTTGTCTGCGTTAGTAGGTATGTTACTGACCTATTTAATATGTTCTTGTGCTGGTAGTTTTAAGTACATTACCTAACACCTTATTAGTTCACTAGACAACTCCTTAACATATTAAACTAAAAGAACAACACCAACATACAATCGAGCCCATTAAGATTAATCAGCTTTCTTTAACGTACTCGAAATATGTCCTCTCGGAGCGATGTTTTGCATCACTCTGCCTTAACGCGCCCTGAAAACGGCCTCTGGTCACGTAAATCTCGACCAGACCTATCGCATGATTACGTAACCTCCCCGAAAGCCGATTTACGCGAGACTACCAACATGTATTATCTCGAGGTAGAACTTCCAGGCATAGGCGGGCCGCACGATATTGAAACGCACTGGTTAGATGAGAGTACTTTGCAGATCAAAGCGACAATTCACAAAACGAACCTAGAAGCGATGTGGTGCGACGACAAATCCGACGACAAGCCTCAACAGCAAGCCATTTATGCTGGAGGGACAGACAACAAGGTTGATAAGAAGATTAGCTCCAAGGAGAATATTCTGGGTCAGAGGCGAGGACGACAGGGGAGTCATGTGGCCTCGACAATGAATTTTTGGCTCAACGAGCGTAAAGCTGGCGTCTTCATGCGCAACGTTTGTTTCGCAGTTGCTGTAGACATAGATAGCGTCCAAGCAAGGCTTAGCGAGGGACTCTTGATGATCATGGTGCCGAAGAAGGATGCAGCGGCCCTCGAAGCGAAGGAGATTTTTATCGAAAGCGCATAGCCTATCTGAATAGTGAAAAGTGAGCTCCGAGTGCGTTTCTGTCTAGATTGCGGAAACGTTGTTAGTAGTACAAAGCTATCACGCCAGTTGATGAATGAGGTTATATGAACAAGGGAAAATCAATATATGTGCAAGTTTTTTATAAGGTTTCTCGGCTTCGTAGTTAGATGAGTCCGTCTTACACAATATTCTCTCTTACCTCCTTTGCTCGTCTGCTACTCATCATCGCTGCCCTCCTCGCTCTTCGACAAACACTGAAGTGAATCAGAGTTAGAGGCTTTTCATGTTCCTAGCTAGTTCCGAAACGGGAAGATGCGATGCCTTGAGCTTGTGCGACCTCATTTTCGACTTCAGCTAGCGTCACGAAGGCTCTATTGTGTGGGAAATTATCCTGCGCGCTTGTAGAGACCAACTTCTCTGCACTCTCAGGACCTGTCGTGCCTGCAGACCCTTTTACGGCTGTCAACAGCACATAAGCTAACCTTGCACGTGCTTTGCGTTTATTAATGAGCGGCAAGACATATTGGATGTGTACAAAGATGTGTCGAGAAGGTATCGATGAAATCCGTATGGAATTTGCTAAGACTGCACTACGGAGCTAGCATCAGCACGATATAGTAACTTTGCCACGTGTCAATCTAAAGAAGCAAAAAAACAGGTAGAAGAAAGCCTCTTAGCTAACGCCGAGGACCTATATACGCCAAGGGAAGCCGCAGGAACTGCAAAAAAAGGGAAAGCGCAGGATTCGTCCGTCAACTGCGTCACTATGGCAACAGCAGAGTTCTGTCGCCGTACCTCGATTCGCTGTTCACTTGGTTCTCAATTTCTCCACATCGTCCCGCCAAGCAGCTCATTTCTTTCCCGGAGCCCATCTCTCTCAAGCTCAATCTTCGCAATATACTCGACGGCGCACGACAGTATCATCGCTTTGCTCGGCGCCGGCCACCCGATTACAGCGTCCTCCTCGCTCTGCGACAGCGTCGGAACAGCGCGTCTCAGTCTCACTAGATTCGAGTTCAACCCCTCGCGGTACTTGCGCTCAACTTGTTTGTGCGGCTGGCGTGGCGCACGCTGGTGTTGCTTTGAAGAGGAGGCGTTGGTAGACGGAACTGGTTTCGCGCCAGAAAGGTTGCGGTCGAGCCTTGGACGGCCACGCTTGGGCCGCGCTTGTCGTGGAGCTGACTCTTCGTCTGGTGAAGTCGCTTCTTTTGAAATCTCGCGCAAGGGTAGTGGAGGGGACCGAGGTGGAGATAAAAGGGCTGTGATGCTGTCGCTACGGAGAGGTGAAGCAGAGTAAAGTCTAGTGTTGGACGCACTAGGCATGTCCAGGTCGAACGTGGAAACTGTGTCGAAACTAGATGCACAACTTTGCCCGTATTCGTCAAGTGGCTGTGTGGAGTAGTTCGTTAAGTAACAATCCCAGCCTGCGGGGTATTCCACGGATGGGTGAGGCTGTTCGAAATAGGCATAGGCAGGAAAGATTCCCAGCGATTGGTTAGGTGGGATAGTGTACAAGCCGATGGGATCGGCTTGGTCGAACGGGTTTTGGGAGTAAAAGGAATCGTCGGTGGGCGAGTAATCAGCATCGGCGACCATAGGGTTGGCAGAGAAATCCGAGTACATGGTGATCTAATTGTGTGAAGCACACCACGAAGCACACCGTGAAGCACACAGTGACGTGAATTAGTGATAGTATTAAGTCGCGCGGTTACTGAACAACGGTGAAGACTCTTAGGACAGGTAACGTAACCGTGTTCAAGCTCGAAGATGCGGGCTTCAAACTAGAGGAAGGCAGGAACAGATAAGAGTGGCACAAGTACTGCGTGTAATGCTCCAGCGATACATTAACTAGTCTATGTCAAGATGCCTTTATATACCCACATGGCAGCTTTCGCGCACGCTTACTGCCTTCTAGGCCTCGCTCACAGCCCACAGCAACAGCCCACGACGACAATCGAAAGATGGTGGGCTGTTAACGGCAGCGCCAACATTGGACCAGAGATCTTGAAAGCTGTAGGGCTAGCATCGCTGATGAGCAGTTAGTGCTATTGACCTGCAACGAGGCGACAAAAGACTAGGCCACAGTCACTCCACGTTGCAGTATCGTGGCGTGCCCAGCATTTCTGTATCTATATGTCCCTCTCCCTCACCACATGCGCCCCAGCGGTCATGTATAAATACGCTTTAGCCTCGGTCTAGAGTACGGCTGTGCAGTATTCATTGTACAGCTCTGAAGCTGGAGCGCTAGAGCCATTGGCAAGATGCAGAACGCGGTTTCTCCGGGGAAAACAGTACACGCGCAATCCTTTGAGCAGGATTTTACGTTCCAGACTGTTCCAAAGCTTATCTGAGCTGCAAACTTCCGGATATTTAGGATTGTTTGTCCTTCCTCTCAAAGTGCAAAGCCTAGCGCAATGCGCTGTTCTCAGCAGAAGAAACCCTTTTCTGAACCGGCGACCACCGCCTGCGCTCTGACGCTGCATCGACCACTGGGGGAGCGTCACGACCATACGTGCAAGACACTAGTTATATCTGCAAAATTCACGTTCTCACAACAGTACATTTTCCCGCGCGTCGCCACTGTAGCATTACTTGAGCATAGACTTGGAATTTTCTCTGGCACATTACAACGATACGACGAAAAAGCATCATAGTTATGTCAGATTAGTATCATGTCCCGATGCCTTGGCTTGCATGGCCCCGTCAGCGCCTTTACACGAAGTGACATAATTTTGCCCTGCATACTATGAAACGCCAAGCTAGGCCTAGGCAGGCCTGCTCCATAATTTTGTATACGCGCGCCGTCATACCTAGAGAACAGATGAGTCCGATCTCCTTCGAACTAGACGTTTTCTTCTGTCAGCTCTGTAGAGGCAGATAGAGACTGGCTACGTTGCTTGTCAAGTCAAGCCTTAGGTAATACCGCAGCGACTACCTCAACACCTTATTGCTAAAAGGCCCCAATGCTAGGCCTCAACGCAATGGGGAAGGACAGGGCAAAACAGCCCACTCCGTGATTAGAAAGCTAGACGTACCTAAACGCGGAATTGGAGCGGAGGCATCCGGCGCATCGCCACCGCAGTTGTTATTCGAGCATGACAGTTTGAGTCCAGAAGCATCAGCAGGACCTCTTGACGCATCGATACAAGGCGATAACAGTCTCTAAGCCTTCTTGCAATCGACACTCACCTTCACTTCGGAGCACGTCACGACATGCTTACGTGCAAAATGTGACTTGCAGAACTCAAAGGACGAAGCGTCTAGCCACCTCTCATCGGGAGATTACCGGTACCCGGGACGGCCATCCTGTCTCGCCATCTACATTAGCCGCGCGCAACACCACTGCACCACAACTCTAGCGTACTAAGATCCTCCACGCTTGATCACTAGCTAGGTTAGATGCGCACCTTTCTGCAATACTTTGCACACTGTTCTATAGTGGTGCCGTCCTAAGACATTTGCTCGTGGCAGACCTCGAGCTCCCGACATGCAGGTTGTAGACGGGATTGTGGGCGATTTCCAGTTCTGTGTGGTCGACGGACTTACCTGGTCTGTTGCCATGCAGTGATCGTAATGCGCAACTTCCGCACTGGCATGGTGTGACCTCACATCATAGACTAGCGCCGATTCGAACACTTCTGCAAAGAAGACATCATGCCATAGCCTGACCCAATATGCCCGTAGAACGGGCAGGCAACTAAGGATGCCATAAGAGGGTACTTAGTTGATGGGGTATCCGTCGCAACGCCAGGACCACTAATCGATACCTCAAGCATTTTGGCCCAGTTTACGACTACCTCCCAGCTCTGCCATGACTCAAGTACGCCAGAGCAACTTGGAAAGTACGGACGCAAGCCGTTCAGACAATCTCCCTTTGGTTTCCCCAGGTGCCTCTCTATATCCTGAATCCTGTCGGAACGGAGCAGCGCTCGGCTCGGTACCTACTCTCGACATTACTTCAAAAGATAGGCCCAGCAACATAGCCATTTTGAAAGATGCCCACTGTTGGCAAGAAGGTAAAAGAAACATCAGGCTTATAAAAAGCAGCTTCCGTTCATACATCATAGGAGGCAGAGTCGGAAAAGCCTCTTGGCTATCACCACACACGGCAGAAGAGCAAAAGCGCATGTGGTATCATTCATCCCTAGCTATGGGGGAGAAACAAGTTGCTGATGAATGGGGTTTCAAGAGCACAAGCGTTTCCAGATCGCAGTCGCCTCACGACACTGCTGAGCCACGAAGCGCCAAAGATAGTAGGGGGATGAGGAGGGCGGGGAGCCTCTAAGCCGTTTAGATCTAGAAGATGGAAGAACAAAGTGAGGTGGCGCATATCTCAGTGTAGTCTCTTGTGTATGAGGATTGTCAACCTAGTGCACTAGACAACATAAATTATAGATGAAGCTCAGACTGTGCTTCGAGATTGTTGTATGCAGAGTACTCAGTACTAAAGGGAGCGCATGCGCTCCCTGGACAAGTAGTACACGATGGTTGAATAGTCACACAATGTTACTATGGGATGATAATTCTACTGTCCTTTGGTAGTGTTAAAGAAGAGTGTCTTCTAAAGAATCAACACCATGGCTAGCAGGCTAAGGAGTGTAATTAATGACCATGTCTAATACGACTCCCACGAGAATAGGGTTTGCGCAGTACCGCAGGAAACGGCATTTGCATCTACCCTTAGACGAACTCTCTAGTTGCTAGGTCATTGCTGGTCCGCTCTCGCTGCGCAAACCTGCACGTCTTTGCCGCCCATTCCCGGCCGATTGTACTTGTAACACTGAATAAACCCCTCTGTCTGCAAAGCTTCCATCAAAGGCATCGGCAATGCATTCCTACTGGCTAGGCTATAGTGCGTGTGTTAAATTGCTATGGCCCAATAACCAAGCACAGTCGATTTTACTCTATGACTGTCTGCAGAACATGATAGGGCAGTTGCTCAACCCGTCCTGAGCGCCCAGCTCGCAGTCCGTCCCGGCGGTGACTTGGTCGCCACCACTACACAGTAGCCCGTAGAAGGAAAGATACTGCTGCAATAGCGCAAACCAGCGCAATCTTTCGGTGCCCACTGTTCTATGCACGGCATACTCGTACGGTTACGCACCTCCAGCAGGATCTTGCATAGGAACGTTGACGCTAGACAAGCTGTGAGCCCAACCGCAGCATCTACAGATGGCAAGTGTTTAGCATTGCAGAGCGAATCATAGCTACGTCGTATAGTAGTGCGCGCTAGTTGTTTTAAGTAGACTGATGTGGTGTGACTTGCTGACGTCACGTCTTCTTTGTCATGGAAAACGAGAGAAAGGCATTCGGCGTGGGGCCATATCTTTCCGTAACTATACGGCCATACTTTCTGTACCGTTAAGTTCGAGTTTGGCTAACAGCGAAGAATTCTGCACTTACACAGCATGCTGTCTTGGACGTGCCAAGCATGTGCTATTATGGTCTAATCGTGACAGAACGCTAGGCAGGGTCGACTGCACGCCGCCTGTGTCATGATGCGTGAGTGATTGGAGGTATTTGGCAGATCTCGCTGAGTGAACAAACGACTTGTCCCCAACGTCATATCCCATACTACCCTAGTCGTGCCTTAATCGTACCCCGGCCTTGCCACCCTCTCACGGTGATCTTTGCAAAGTGTTAAAGGTTTAAGAGATCTGTAAAACTTTGATACGACTCCTTCCCTGTTAACTCACATGTAGATAAACATACTTTGGAAGCTATTCATTAGTTAAGATGCGCATCTGTTCGCTGGTATGGAAAGCTATTAGCCAGGGACGATCATTCTAATCACCAACCTAATACAACGGTTATCATTTCTACTCGTTTTGTATACTTAGATGAATCGAATGAATTCAAGAGACGCAGAAAACTTTAGTGGGGTACCTCTGTCCTCTTTCATGCGCTTGTAGCATTCAGGGATGATTACTAACAGATCACTACAGATGACCCCCTCTATAAGAGCATTCTTGTAAAATATCCGTTACGGATCCAATCATCTAGCTTAAGAACCTCTATCGACTACAGATTATCAGTGTTCTAGATTTCTGCCGCTTCTGCTCAACTGTAGGTTAAATTGTATTAAGAGAGAAATATCAGCTATACAGACGCTTAATGCAGCGGACAATTAGAGGGCTTGCAACTACTACAATATTCAGCGAGCCGCTAAGTAGTTGTAGAGTTTTGAATTGCTAACCTTCGGTATCCAACAGCATTTCATGTCTCCTATTTAAAGTTGGTCACTCCTAGCCTGCGGCTTGACAGATCATATTCCTTGCAGGCGGTCACCTCTAGTTTCCTAGAACGGCCATATCCAACCCATCACAGCTTCCGAGTCCGTCCCCTCTTGGTATGCTGTTTCCCTAGCCCTGATGCGTTTATCGATCAATTCTTCCCTCACAGCAGCAGCACTATTACTCAGTCCGGGGATTCGATCAATTGCATCAATCGCGAGACTGAAACGATCAGTCTCGTTCTTGATCGCCAGCCCAAGAGGGGTATCGACGTTGCCCTTCTCTCTGTAGCCTGTGACGTGGATGTTGTGTTGACCCTTGCGCATATAAGTGAAACGATGGATGAGCCATGGGTACGAGTGGAAATTGAATATGACGGGCTTGTCATCTGTGAAGATGGCTCGGAACTCATCGTCACTTAGTCCGTGAGGATGTGTGGCGTGGGAGACTAGCTTGAACAGATCAACTACGTTGACGAAGCGGATTTTGAGACTGGGGCAACTTTGTCGCAAGAGAGCAGTGGCGGCAAGAGACTCGTGGGTTGGGACATCGCCACAAGCTGCCATTACTACATCGGGTTCGCAGCCTTGGTCATTAGAGGCCCAGTCCCATATCCCAACCCCCTTGGTGCAGTGCACAAGTGCATCATCCATATCAAGGAACTGCAGGTGGTCTTGCTTGTCCGCCACAATGACATTGACGTAGTTAGAGGATTGGAGACAGTGATCCATGACCGAGAGGAGACAGTTCCCGTCGGGAGGTAGGTAAACACGGACCACTTCGGGGCTTTTGTTGGCGATAACGTCGAGAAAGCCCGGATCCTGGTGCGTGAAGCCATTGTGGTCCTGACGCCAGACGGTGGCTGTGAGGAGGATGTTAAGAGAGGCCACTTTCTGGCGCCACTCCACCTCGAGACACTTCTCAAGCCATTTGCAATGCTGATTAACCATGGAGTCGATAATGTGGATAAAGGACTCGTAACAGTTCAGGAGGCCGTGTCTGCCAGACAGGATATACCCCTCTAGCCACCCTTCGACGGTATGCTCACTGAGCATTTCCATAATCCGACCTTCATAGGCTAGATTTCCTCCATCCTCGTCTTCTTCGAGGTACGTACCGAACCATACCTTCTTTCCAACTTCGTAGATAGCACCGAGCTTATTTGATTCAGTCTCGTCAGGCCCGAAGACACGGAAATTCGTCCTGTTCGCTTGAACCACGTCTCTTAGGAACTTTGCCATGTTTGTCATGTTTCCCGCCTGGAGAACACCTGCCTTGTTGACTTCGAATGCATACTCGCGAAAATCAGGAATCTGCAGTTTCTTGACAATAGATCCACCATTCGTCACTGGGTTAGCGCTCATCCGTCTATGGGCAGTGGGAGCAAGGTCCTTTAGTTCCTTAATCAGAGTTCCGTTTCCATCGAAGAGTTCCTCTGGCTTGTAGCTGCGCATCCACTTCTCGAGCACCACCAGGTTCGTCGAACTAGTTCGGACGTCGGTGATCGGCACCTGGTGGGAGCGCCAGAAGCCCTCTAGATAATGATCTTGCATCTTCCTTGGCGCCGACCAGCCTTTTGGGGTTCGGAGTATGATCATGGGCCAGCATGGACGAAACGCCTGGCCTGATCGGCGCGCTTTCTGCTGGTATTCACGGATCTGCGTGACACAGTGGTCGAGAGTGCTCGCCATTGCTTGGTGCATCGAGCTATACTCATTTCCTTCGACGAAATAAGGAGTCCATCCGTAGCCAAATAGAAGAGCCTCGAGCTCACTGTGGCTGATACGAGCGAGAATGGTTGGGTTGTTAATCTTGTAACCATTCAGATGGAGAACGGGGAGAACGGCACCATCCGTGATTGGGTTGAGAAACTTGTTGCTGTGCCACGAAGTTGCCAGCTGCAATCGCATTAGACAATCCTGATAGCTGGAAGAGAACGGAATAATACTCACTGGACCCGTCTCGGCCTCACCGTCTCCCACTATTGTAAGGGCAATGAGATTCGGGTGATCGAAAACACTCCCGAAGGCGTGCGAAATAGAGTAACCAAGCTCTCCGCCTTCGTGGATACTTCCTGGTGTTTCCGGAGTTACATGGCTGCCAATGCCGCCAGGAAAAGAGAATTGCTTGAAGAAGCGGCGCATTCCATCCATGTCTTCAGATATGTTGGGATACACCTCTGAGTAAGTGCCTTCAAGGTAGGCATTTGCTAGAACTGCTGGAGCACCATGTCCCGGGCCGGAGATGAAGAGAGCGTCGAGGTCATACTTCCTGATCAGGCGGTTGAAGTGGATGTAGGTGAAGCTCTGACCTGCGTCTGTACCCCAGTGGCCAAGCAGTCGCGCTTTCAGATGCTCCAACTTTAGCGGCTCTCTCAAGAGGGGGTTGTCTCTGAGGTATATCATCCCAAGACAAAGATAAAGCGTAGCGTTAAAGTATTTGTGCATTAGTGCCACTTCATCCTTGCCGATACTGTTTCCGCCTACAGTGGCTCGAGCTGGACCGTATGGAGATATACTTCTATTTTCCATCGTTTCTGTCGCCATGCCTCGAGTGGTGTTTTGCGGGAACTCTGGTTCTGCAATATTGCCAACCACAGTTGAGGCACCAGGTTTGATGGCTATAGTGTTGAAGGAGCGATTTCTTAAAGGTGCGACGATCTGTGAGTAGTGGATACACAACCGAATTGCCAGCGCAACTTGAATGGGTATCGAAGAAGGATGTGAAAGAGTCACTTCTTGTTTATGTATCCTTGAGCACTCATACAGTGATATTGATTGGTGCGTCAGTGGTATCACTCCACCTCATGGACTCACACCACCTTTGGTGCGGTGTGACAGATCGGTTTGTCATGGACCACAACGGCTCTTGGTATACTCCCGGACATTGAGATACCTTCACAAGCAAAATCCGATTCCAGCAGTCCAGACATCCTCATGAGACATATCCAGTGCTACATCGGCGCCTCGTGGCATCTTGCGATTCAGCCAATCGGGAGTCCAAGGCCAGACGGATTCCTACTGGTCAGCTTCTTTTCTTGGCAAGTCTACGATCTGCACAGTATTCCAGCCACACTATTATACACTCGTACGGCTATGCACAATTCCGCAATTTCAGAGCCTTGTGTAGTGTTCCGATAGACAGACCTCTTACATCGCGCTAAGGGAATAGATATTTTATTACAACAATATTTCGCTTTGACTCCATACGTAAGATTGGATTTGACCGGTAAATCAAAGACCCAGCGTTTTCAGCCTAGGCCCGATTAAGGATGTTGGCGCCCCGGGACGGTTCGCCGAACGCACAGATCAACGAACCTAAGGCTGTTATGAGACTAATAAGCCCTTTCCAACGTCATATAGTTTTCTCTTCCCGCAGTCTTGTTAAGCATATGATCACTGGGCCACGGACAATATTGGGGGATCCCGGAGCGAACCGCAGGACCGACTTCTAAGTGCTAATGTTCACTGTCCAACTGAACACACCCAACGGGACTTCTGTGTTATTGCGCTAAGATATTAAGGCACTGTTCAATACATGGCGAGGTTGCGCAGTCGCAAGGCAAAGACCAACGTTCTAATCAGCGTGCATAGTAGACTTCCACGACAATCTTATATTCAATTGCGGGTCGTGGCATCCACAATGACATGTGATCACCATTGCCAACACCCCGTCAAGTACTGGAAACGAGCATAAGGTGGAAAGGACGGCTCGTATACACAGAGCTGGCGATCGACGCATATCTTAGACGTACTTAAGGCCCACTATCTGAACATCGAGAGGCTAGCGTCGGATTTGTTGACCTTTATAAAAGATGCATGGACACGCGCCAACACGTATATATTTCCGTATTACATCGCTTGCAGGTCTAGACTTCAACTATGACATCAAAAACAGTCATAGTTTTGGGAGTCAGCTCAGGACCTGCATTTAAAGCTCGCGTGATGTCAGACCATCACAGCTTACATCGGGTTGATTAAAACGCCACCAAGACAAGACAGTCTTCCAGGTCCTCGCGTTACTCAATGGGGCGAGTTAGCGTGAGCAGAGGCAGGCAGGTTGAAGGGTGTCTGACGAAAGAGTAGGTTTTGTATACCTAGCTCGCATGAATCAGCTGTGCTAGCAGCACAAATTCACTACCAGTACAGGAAACGATGTGATGTCGTGGCTTCTCCTTATTAGAAGAAAGTGGTCTGTAGACACTTGCGGTATGTCCTAGCAGCTTCAGAATTCATGTTCGCCCACCGTAGCCAAAGGGGATACCGGAATGTCTAAGATCAAGCACTCAAAACTAGTCGGTAGGAGAACAACGCATTAACCAGGGCAACCGTACGAGCACCTTTTCTAAGCTAAAGTCAAGAAAATAGGGCTCAAATGCGCCGTTTGTAGATCTTGCATAGGGTGTGGGGCCGACTGTGAAAATACTAGCTCAGAATAAACATACGCTTATCCAACACCCCCAGATCATTTCTGTAATGCTGCAGAGCACTAGCGTTCGAAACAAGGTCAAGCTGATAAAGCGTAGTCAGTGTGCATGCCATATTCAAAGAACAACATTGTCCATGAAAGCTGTTCTTCCTCTGCGCTTACAAAACCTTAAATCCTTTATCTTTGCGGATATATTTTACTTCCGAATCGAGAATGAGCGATGCACCTCCACCAACGTTTCCCTTTGCTCGTCCCCAGGCTTGGGAACCACCAGCCCAGTATGAACAGCTACGAAAGTTAAATCCTGTCTCGCAAGTTGCGCTTTGGGATGGCAGTCTTCCATGGCTGGTAGTGAATCACAAGGATGTGGTCAGTGTGCTGACTGACGACCGGCTGTCAAAGGAGCGCACTCGCCTTGGTTTTCCAGAGATGAGCCCAGGTGGTAAAAAGGCAGGGAAGAACAAGCCGACTTTCGTAGATATGGATCCAACAGCGCACATGCGACAGCGCAGTATGATTGAGTCATTGTTCATCTGGGGTGCGGTGGAGAGACTACGCCTACATATTTAATAGACAGTCACAAACTTGTTAGATAAGATGATTCAAGAGGGTTGCGAGAGGCCGGTTAACTTTGTGGAGAGTTTTGCTTTACCTGTCCCATCCCACGTACGATATTTTGTGTTCAGTCGGTGGTATGTTTGCTTACCAATATAGATTATCTACAGCATTCTTGGAATACCCTTCAGCGACCTCGACTTCCTTACAGCACAATCCGCAGTACGCAGCAATGGAAGCTCGACTGCCACTGAAGCCACGAAGGCCAATCAGTAAGTATCTGTAGCGCGATTCATTGTAGTACGTTGTGCTATAAAAGCTGATGCTGGGAACTAGGACGCTGCTCGATTATTTGAGCAAGCTGGTCGAAAAGCGTTCTGATGCGCCCGCCGAAGATCTGATCAGCAAGCTAGCGGTTGAGCAAGTCGAGCCTGGTCATATCGAACATTCGGACGCGGTCGCCATCGTATTTCTTATGTTGATCGCCGGAAACGCCACCGTGATCAACATGATCAGCCTCGTGAGTTGTCAATCCGCACCCTATATCTAACACAGCCATTAACAAAAAGAAAGGCATAGTCACTCTGTTAAAATACCCATTTCAACTTAATAGGCTCAAGTCTGATCCCTCGCCAACAACAGCGTTTGTATCCGAGCTATGTCGGTATCACACCGGATCCGCCATGGCAACCCGTCGCGTTGCGAAAGTCGACATCGAGATTGCAGGCCGCAAGATCAGAGCAGGTGAAGGCATAATCGCCGCAACGCAGTCTGCCAGCCGAGACGAAGCTGTGTTCTCGGATCCTGAGACATTCGACATCTTGCGCTTCGTGGCGAAGGAGCAAGGCGGACGAGGAGAAGACTGGTATAAGACGATGGGCTATGGATACGGTGAGTATCGATGTGTTGCTGAGCCTCTAACTAGAGGAGAGCTCGAAATTGTCTTTGGTACGTCCTCGAGACGCAAGTGTTCAGCCAAGATAGCAAGCTGATCTGTATTCCTCCCCAGCCGCTCTGGTCCAGAGACTGCCGAACCTCAAACTCGCTGTGCCGTTTGCAGAGATTAAATAGACAGCGCCGAAAGCAGATATCGGTATCACGGAATTGCCTGTCACCTGGTAGACTCGGTTGCTGCCTTCATGTGGTAAAAATAGCTTGCAGTCAGTAGATTCACCTGTTTCTAGGAAATGAATCCATTGCCTAAATAAGCGATGTTTATAAATGCGCATAATCCAGTAGGCCCCATCCGTTGATGAGACAGAGGGGGCGCACGGGGGCTGAAGCCGGTTATCAGACATGACAAAAGCACGAGAGCTCTATCAGTATGAATTCTGCAACGACGATTTGACATGCTGCGACACACTCGATATTATCTTAAGCGACACTCGCAAGTCATTTTTGGCGTTGATCTTGGTCGTTGTTCGCTTCAAGTGCTCGCAGATCTCGAGGCCCTGACTCGCTGGACTATCTTCACGGTAAAGAAATCTCTCGGATGCCGATACGACTACGCAAAGCTCTGGGATCGTTACCGCTTCTGGATTTGATGTAGTGGGCGATAAAAGAGTCATTGTCCGTCTGCGAGCGGGATACACGATCACATGATATGCTGCTCGCAACACACCCCTAAGACACTCACGAAACTCTTTGCACTTTAAACTCCAGCTTAATTTGCTGCTGCATTAAGGAGTTCACTATCACCATGCAAAAATTACTACCGCTATGCAAGAGATACTCAACGTCCCAAAGACAGCGAACAGCCCAAACAGTTATGTAACGACCTACAAAACGTAGTAAGCTGCCGTGATATTGAGGCATACACAGAGGGCTATATGTGATCTTAATAGGATGGCAACTCGTCTGATAGTATTCCCTTACTCGACAGTCCTTCCTAAGACACTATGTATGTGACAGACTAGTTGTGGAGGTCTGTGTTGCCTGTGCAAGCTTATGCAGTTGCTGTGAACTGTTCAGTAGATTCAGACGAAATCTGGACATTCCACCTCCGGTCCCATGCGTGCAAGGAACACAGCGCTTTCGCGGTGGTCTGACTGTATGTCTCGTGTTCGCCAATCACCCGAAATTAACGCGATTTCTTTGTTGCATGCCTCTAGTCACACCACATCAGGCCGTGCGTACAAGGAATAGTGAAGCCACCATAGCGATCTCTACTTGACTGCTCTTCAATTACCTATAAGTTCCCTCAACCAATACATGAGAATAGGCATCTTATCCTCACTGAAATCAACCATCAAACCATTCCACAGAAACAGCATTGGATACTATACCAGATACCCAATCCATCTTTACAGCTACGCAATATGGCCCACCTTAGCAATATCTTCCACCATTTTGCATTCACTCACCCGCAAAGCGATTCTTCCTCGCTTGATGTGCCACGAGACGCAGCTAATAACATCGTGTTATCACCCAAAGTTGACCTCCGCGAATACACCTCCGCATATTTTCTTGAGGTTGAGCTCCCTGGAATACAAAAGCCGAACGATATTGATATGAGGTGGTTGGACGGAAGTACGTTACAGATTCAAGTGTCAATCCCGAAGACGGATCTGGAAGCGGAGTGGGGCGACGCAATTTCTCATGATAAACCTCACAAGAAAGTCCAGAGTGCTAGCGAGTACGAAAAAGAATGCGATGGGCGGAATGGTTTCGGCGGGGGAACCGAGAAGCAGGAAGCGGGTGCAAGAAGCAGCCCTGAGCGCCTGATGACAAAACTCTGGCTCAACGAGCGAAGGACCGGGGTCTATATGCGAAACTTCTATTTTCCGATTGCTGTGGATACGGATGCTATCCAAGTAAGGCTCAGGCAGGGGCTTCTGAAGGTCCTTGTGTCGAAGGTGGATGCTGCGTCCTTTGAGACAAAACATATCAAGATCGAGGCAATGTAGTATCGATGGAAGCTATTTCCAAGGCAGGCAGGGAGCCTGGACTAGCTTCTGTGAGCCAATGGAAAAAACACGAATCGAATGAACTCTAGTTATCTGTCATGCATGCATGCACTGTGACCAGGTACAGCTATTGGCTTCGGACCCTTAGCGTTACTGGAAAGAATTTAGGTCGTTTCACATCTTATTCCTTCTCTCACAATCAGGAGTCCACAGTTTCGAGCTTGATTTCATTTAAGCCAAGCATGGCCTCATTCATCTTTGGTGCCATAAGATCAAGAAGACCCTAGCTAAATATGGTATCAATACCTCGTAACCAATGCCTCCTTAATGCGCCTTCCCCCTCATTCTGGGATATTCAAACGGAACGAGAACCGCGCTTATGATCTCGCAGGGATTAGAATCCGGCAAAAGCGTAGCCTTTGACATAGGTCTCTTTGGCATCTAGAAGCGTGTGCACTATGCATTTTGTTTGCTAGCAGAGAGTGGAAGGAGCGTCCTTATCGATCATGCGTTATCATTACTACTAAGTATCTACTTATGCCCCTCTTGGTACGAACAACACCGAAGCACGCTGCACCAAAAAGCAATCATCCAGTTCTTCCAGAAGCTTAAATCCTTTTCCATGTTGGCGACAAAGATGAGACTGTACTTGCGTCCGAGTGCTATCTTATGCTTCAAGCTTCTCGCGGAGGACCTCCTTGAGTGTAACGGCGTCAGCAGCGAACTTGGAAATTCCTTCACGGAGCTTCTCGACAGCCATCTGATCCTCGTTGAAGCAGAAGCGAAATGCAGACTCATCGTTGATGTAGGTCTTTCTCTCCATGTCGAGTAACTTGGCACTGGAAGCGTCAAGCTTCTTGGGGACGGAGTGGGTGGAATTGTAGAGTTGCTCGAGCAAAATGGGCTGAAGATACTTGTTATTGAACGTCCAAACTCCTTGAGTTAAGAAAACTCACAGCGATAGTCAAGTAATCACAGCCAGCCAGCTCAGTGATTTCGCCGATGCTTCGGAAAGAGGCACCCATTACGATGGTCTTATATCCAAACTTCTTGTGGTAGCTGAAGATCTTGCCCACACTCTCAACACCGGGGTCCTCGCTGTTGCTGTAGTCTTTACTATTCGTGGCCTTGTACCAGTCAAGGATACGGCCTACGAACGGTGAGATGAGGAAAGCCCCAGCTTCGGCAGCAGCAATGGCCTAAATATGCGAGAACATGAGCGTCATATTTACGTTGACTCCGTGCATCGACTGGAGAATCTCAGTAGCTTTGATGCCCTCCCACGTTGAGACGATCTTGATGAGGACGCGTTCTTTGCCAATTCCCTGCTCCTTGTACAGCTGCAGCGTGTTAGTTTTCGGTAAAGTCCTAACCCCACAACACCAAATCTACGTCGATGATACGGAGGGCCTTGTTTACAGAGGCTTCGGTGTCGAAAGAGAAACGTGCGTCAACCTCAGTAAATACCTTGCCGGGAACAATGTTGAGGATTTCCTTGCCGAACTGTACCAGCAAGCAATCGAGTGTAGCATCCACCTGATCGTCAATGTCGTCACCATGTGTTTTTCCCCATGTAACGGCCGCGTCAATGAGCTTCGCGTACTCGGGCTTCTTCGAGGCCGCGAGGATCAGAGACGGATTGGTGGTCGCATCTTGGGGCTTGTGCCTGTCGATGGTCACAAAATCTCCAGAGTCGCACACAACGGTCTGTGTGTACATTCTGTTAGCTCGAGCTATTGTTACTTCGTATCACGATGTGCGGCCATCTCAGTTCTCTAGTCGTGAAGTAAGAGTATAGAACTTACTGTCCCAGTAGCCTTTAGTTGGTTGAGAGAGCTAGCCATGGTGAGTTTAGTAAGTAGTGGCTGAAGAGGAGCAAGAAAGGTAGTTCCGCTTGTTAACAGCAGCTGCGCCAATGTATCAGCTCTCAGCAATAGCAGCCCCCCTCATGAGACTGCTACATGACAAGCTTCTCCGATGACGATGGAAGTTCGAGACTACTCATGCGACAGGCCAATATTCGTTCTCGTACCGACGGTCAGACCATCGTTATTAGAAGGCTAAACTCAACCTAACAAAGTCTCTGCAGCCTTCTCGCCTCGCAGCACTTGGCATACCGAAACCGTGTAGCGCTCTGGTGGTCTGATATCATTCGACATCTGGGTCTAGGTTTCGGTCAGCCTATGCAGGAGTTATAGAATCGTCATTACACCGCCAGAGATGGGCGATAGACATCACACAGATCACTGAGGCGGAAGCATAGTTTATGCCATCGTCTTGCCTTGCAAACAACCTAGCAGCGTTATGGCACTTATGCTTCGCAAAACCTCTAGAAGCCACTCTCAAACATGTGCAAGGATATAAAACACCGTGCACATTTCTTTATTGTTCTATCCGTAGAATACAGTAATGTTCTAACGTGCCGATCCAGATCGAAGGTTGCTACACGAGCACTACACAGCGTTATCCGCTGCAACGAGTACGAGACAATGACATAGCGGGCAATATTCGTGAAACTCGGTGAACCATCTGTCGAAGCACTGCCCGTGGTAGATGTGTCGGCAACTCAACGCTCGTATGGAATCGTTTGCCTTGATTGTATCTAAACAGATAACGCTGCGTTCTCGTTAGCAGGGAACACAGACTGGTGGTTAGAAGACGATATGACATACCAAACCTGACTTTCTCGGTCAACGTGCCACTCATGTGGGTGATTTATCTGGTCCGCTTTGTACCATTTGAGAAACTCTGTCGACGGAAGTATCTCCTCAAGTCGATCCAGGCGACTTTTGAGGGTGCTGAGATCTGGTTTTCTAAGGGCGCTGCAACAACCAAATACTCTGTTGTTTGGTCAGCGCGATCGAGGTCGTAGGTCTCGCTAGTGAACTAACCCACAAAATAGAATCAGTAGATATATCCCAACTGCCGATATAATTAGAGCGAGGGGGACACTCACGCCTTGGTCAGGCAGGTCTTCTAAGGAACTAGAAATATTTCGAGATACTGATGTCATAGCTGAATACGCTACGCTACCCCTTCGTCAGCTTAGCATCCCATGAGCTAATCGATAACAATGCCCTGCTAGCGGAAGGTATTTACTCTGTGATCGACCGTACTCTTGTTACTGTACTTAACTTGCATTTCTAGGATATTTTCTGCCTCGAATAAGGCAAGCCTAATATACCTTGTCTCTTGACAATTCAGAGAAGGAATTTTGGAATATGTGCAACGCTATCACTAGCGCGAAAGACATCTTCTACAGAGCATGTAGCTTGGAGATATCACGCCACATGGAGCGTAGCCATGTCGGACCTGCTTCCAGCATATGGTACGTCTTCAGACACTGATCAGGCGCGTTACTTGTGCACTATTGTCTGGACACGCGAGTGTATTCTAAGCCAAATTACGAACCACGGAAATATGTCCAGAAATATGAGCAGTAGCTGCAGCGTCTTTGTCGGTACTCAGAACTAAAGGACATAGAAGAGCTATCAGAGGCAGCCAATGCAAGAAAGGTTATACTATAGAACAGACGCAAGACGAAGCAACCTGGCCTGCTTTCGCACAACAATGGGCGGGGATTGTCGACTGCTGTGCTATTGCTGGTCATGCGTGCATCAGAACCTTAGATGTCGAATACCAAAATCGCATATAGCAAGTATGGAACGGACTATAGGTCAGAAACCCTACTTTCGAATTGAAGTATGACGTCATACGTGCTCATGCAATCGTCCGACATCACCTCATGTGGTGTTTGTCATGTGACCTGGAAGCACTGAGGCAACGGGCAAACCACCATATTCTTGTGTCGAATCGTGGTCGAAAGTGCCTGTCAAATCGTGCCTCTGATTCTCGAGGCTGCTAAGGCAACCACAGCCTAGTTCTCCAACGCTCGTACCCATCTGCATGACCCTCTCTGTTGCCGTGGAAGTTTGGACAATGCCCAAAGCTACTTAAAGTCCGTGCTGGTTCTACCATGTAAGCCACCTGGGCTTTTTTTGCCCAACTGTTCTCGAAGGAGCACTTATAGTATGGGTGTATGAAAACAGTAGTGAACTAAATGAATGAGCTGTCGAGCTTGTTGCAACAATCGTTTGCCTTGCTCTAGGCAGTATTGAGGTTGATCTTGAGATGATCCTTGAAGGCTCTCACCGTGAGCGTCGAAACTGACGCCCTTGTATGTTTAAACCCGTTCTTTGATACTCTTGAAGTGCTTGTACACTGGTACAATCTCGCAAACCCTCATAAACAGCACCGCATTTGCCATGCTTATTACGGCCCTCCATGCATCGGATAGCTTCTGTGGGCGGTCTAAGGGTCTATTGATACCTGTGATCACTGCCCAGTTAGCTGCATTAGACCCACTCCATCTCATCTGCCTAGGAGCCCCAGGCTGCTTGTTCTTGGACTGGACGGGTTAGCGTTTTGAACAGTAATCCTGTTCACTTAGTGCTCGGCGTAGGTACCGTAAGCAGCTTGTGGATGTTTTACGCGTTCAAAAGTAGCATAAAATGATTTTCAGCGAATCAGGCCTGGCTTGACTGGCTCTAGCGTTTGCAGAAGTTGGTCGTCGGGTAGAGCAGTATTTATAGCGCATTAGAATTCTCGGTAAAGTTCAAGTTGTTGGGGCGTTTCAATACGGTTGACGATGTCAATAAGAACTTTAATAAGGCCGCCTTTTCACCATACGCGAATGAGGAATTCTTTATCGTAGTGCTCATGAGCGTTTTCGTAGGGCTTTTTGTTTGCACTGAAGATATTTGCCTGGCTAATGAGGTAGAGTGTGTAGAAATCATAGCAGAGACGCCAGTGAGTAGGTTCAAAGTTCTTGTATTATTGAGCGAGAGCAATGACTGCGGCGCCGTTATTGGTCGGATTGTCGAGTACAAAGAAATCCAACTGATCACCAGTAACGTTGTAGCTAAAGAGCGTTGTTGGAATGACGGCGTCAATAGCCTGACCTGTATGGGCACCTACGAGATGGGATAAATCATTAGACAAGTCTTGCATTACTCTAGTGGCGTTATCAAAGTGAGAAACAACTCCAAGAAAGCCACGCTAATTAGCAATCCTTTCCTGTACAGCCATCGAATCTTACATGAATCTTTTTTGTAGCCGTTGACAGCGACTGAACATCCTGACACTACATGGACTTGAAGAGTCTTGATGAAAAGGTAGTGATGCTTGCAGAACTTACCCACAGCGCTGCCTCCGCTAATGTGATGGCAAACTTGATTAGCTCACGAAAAGCTAGTATTCAGACCGAGCGAAAAGTACGATCATCACCAAGGTAGCAAACCAAAGTAGCTGTTTGAAAGCGCTGTACGTTGGAATTTCTTACCGAATTAGCAGTGCGTTGAGAGATCTCAATACAACCGTTGAGTTTGTGAGGTAAGGAGAGCTGTATTTAATGAGATATATGATCTTTTTGGCTACTCTTTGGGTCAACTTTTGTACGACTGTAACTACATTTCGGCAGACCAAGATGAGTTGCAGCTGATGATGTAAGCTTTGTAACCTCAAATAATCCACCACCATCAGCATCAACATGCTTTTTCGTATGACAGTACTCACATATGAATCAGGTACTATTAAGAGCTTTATGGTCAACAATGAGAAGGCCGTATTGGGAGACACAACTCCTGCCACGTTCGGGCGTCGACAAAGGCTTCGTATATGCACGTAAGCGCCCGTGAACGCACAAAATTGATGCCCCTAAAGTCGTTGAAGTAGCTTTCATATAGCTCTTCATGTAATTCGTCTCTGTTGTTATCAACGCCCTCGTTGGCAACGCTTGTAGCGACCGCGCCGGCAACGCTGCCCCTATCAAGCGTGACGATTACCTCTGCAGCCAGGGCATCGTAGAGCAATAGTGAGCGTTGAGATGAAGGCCTGGATGATCGCGTATGCTTGACGGCAGTGGTGCCCGAAGAGCGTGCCAGTGACGGTCTAGCTATGTTAAACGATCAAATACATCAACAACGCGTCTGAATAGGCTCAAAGGCGACATAGGTTGCTTCAAAATAGTTAGGCAAAGGCTTTCCATATGGGCAGCTAGCTAAGGGCTAATCAATCAAGACAATCATAGTTGCTCTTTAAAGTTTTACAGCTGACGACCATATTGTTTGAAATATCTAAGTTTAGAAAACGAAGTTCTTGGTGTATCATCGATTCATCTTAGCTATATACTAAAGTACTTATAGATATGTACTCTCTTCCAACACATCTACATAATTCTTAGTATATCGTTGGTGAGCTTTTAAGGTGGGAGAGTACGTGCGTACAGCACAAAATCTGTGGCTGCGCGTATATATCAAGAATCTCTCGAATAGTATTTTGGAAGGGACATATGGAACACATAGAAGCGTTCGTGCGAACGCACATATGGGAAAAGTGCCTACACCTGACGTGGTATTAAAGCACGTAGTCCACCAAGACTTGCACTGGATGCTAAAGGTTTAGAAACTGGTGACTTTGCGTGGACAGTCTCGTCTTCGAAGGAATCTAACAACGTCTCTGAAAAAGTTACCAACTTATGCGAATAAGACAGCAGATCCGAGGAGCTGTCAGAGGCTTGACAAGGTTTACCGACCTGGTGCCATACGATGAGCTATGCGACGACTTAGTCCTCAGAGAAAAAGGTCGCTTAGGAGCGGTTGTATGCGGAAGTGAACAGCTTGCGGATGAGGCTGGAGTATATGACAGCGAAGTGGTGGCGCTAAAGCTGGAACTCAAGATTAACAAATGGCCGCAACAGGGTAGGTATGATCGTACCGTATCAGGTGGGTAAGTTGATGTTAGCTGGAATTCACAGAGGCGATTTGAGGGTTCACGGTCGAACCGCTGATACCGATCGCCTCTATTATGGTCCGACGATGTGTCGGAAAAGGCGTAAACTGAACATTTTAACCCTGTATGGCTTGGCAAGCGCTGGGGCACGATGTCGCGGAAGGCGAGGTTGTCAAAGGAGCTGTTGCGTAACGGCTTTAGCATCGGTAAACATTGATCGTACGGATAAACAAGGCTCTGCTCAGTGTCCTTCTTCTTGCGACTGTGTGCATATTAGGGTACGATCTGTGCGCGATAGGGTCGTGGGTAGTAGTGCCATACCTTTCCGAGCAATAGAGCATAAAGCTACTAGGAACTATAATTTGCTTCTCGCAGAAGGTACTGCAGCACAATATCAATATAATGTGCTCGAGAACACTAAGCTTAGATAACAACGTACCAGTAGTTCAGGAAGGTCACCGCCATTGAACCGTTGTCGTGATCAGTCTCGATCTCCTTGTAATGCACAGCATTGGAAGCACCGTTACTTCTACGGGAATAAGCGCGCTTTGACAGAGGCTGTGAGGGCTGTGTACGCGCCGGCTGCGGTCTTTTGAACTGTCGAGACGGGTGACGAATAGGATGCGTGGTCATCATGGATGCTGGTAAGGTCTGAATGCCTCACTTGGACAATCGCACACGGTGCGCGACCCTGTCACGGGCTGGAACAGCAGTAAAAGAGGCAGTGACACAGGCCGCCAAGCTATTTGACTGCTAGTATGACGCAAGGGTCATGCTTTGCTGTATTTAAAATCTTTGTTGTCTCAAGAACTATGCTAATGTTTCAGCAGGAACACTATTTGTACTTCCTATCTGGATGTGGAAGACGCTTGGGCGCGTCAAGGTGCGATGGGCAGAGTGACACTTCGGTGGAAAATATGGAAGATTGTGACCCTAGATCTTGATGAACAAAAACTTACATTAATAAGGGACGTGCAACGTTGCAGGGAGGAATAGAGACAGATCCCAGTGCACTCTGATAAAACTACTGCAGCTGACGATCCTGACCAAACGTGTAGGCAGATCAGGCTAGGATATGCCAGGACAGGGCCGGAACGTGAGCGTAGGCGTGAGCGCGAACTTGGGTGAAGAACAAGAGCTAAGTATCTCCAGAAGGCCTGCGGCGGTCAGCAGCAGTCAAACAAGCAATGTATCAATAACAACGGTCGAATTGAAGAAAAGACTAGGCTAATAAGTGGTTAATTATAGCAGCGCGTGTGGGGATTAATACTTTTGCAGATTAATTTCTAACGTGGATGCAGCTGAACTGAAGGTTACAAAATCGGGTACTTCTATGACGTAGATTCAAAGACGGGTATGCGGGGTAAATCTGGAAATCCCCCACCCTCCTTCACATGCGCGATCGATGGGGTCAGGTCAGGCGTGAAAAATAAGGTTAGAGAAGACCCACTACCGGTAGACAGTGGGAAACGAGGCATTGTCAGAGGTCTTGGCGATAGGTACCGATAGCCGAGTCGGTGACTAGGCGCCATACGGTATGGAGACATCACCCGATGGACCCACCAGACCTTCGAAAACGTGACCTCGAACACAGTATGATGGCTTCACTAAGCTTCCATCTAATCATGACTTTCTTCTGTTATGAGCAACAATCCTTCACGACGCGACCGAACTGCGGAAACAACAACTGCAACTCAACCGTTCGTTTCCAAGACGATTACCTACTGTATGTGGTCAGTGCGTTCAACAGTTCAGCCAATGCAACACCATCTGCCCCATCAAAATATCCACCCATCATTTTCAACACGTGATATCTCCACCACTATGACAGCTCTCGCAAAAGCAATTGCAGCAATCGATTCGCAAGATACAGAAGGCCAACTTTCATACCGCGCAGCTGCCAAAAAGTTTGGTGTTGAGGTCACAACATTGACGCGCCGGCACCAAAACAAAACCCAGTCGCGAACAGCAGCTGCCAAAAAACGTCAATTACTCACTCCACCACAAGGATCTAAGCTGGTAAAATATATAGAAAAACTATCTGAACGCGGCCTACCACCTTCTCGAGCAATAGTAAAAAATTATGTGGCGGTTATTGCAGAATGGGAGCCCTCCAATAGCTGGGTTACTCGATTTTTGAACCGCCACAACGATACAATATGCATCAGAAGAGCCACCGGTATCGATCGCGACCGTCATCTGGCTGATAATCCAGCCAACTACCAATCATATTTTGATCTCCTCTATGCCAGGCTCGATCAGTATGAGGTTGCGCTATATAATATCTATAATATGGACGAGAAGGGCTTCTTACTTGGCCGTATCTTACCATCGAAAAGAATCTTTTCAAAGGAGCTCTGGGAGCAAAAGAAAGTACGCAAGGCTCTCCAAGATGGGAGTAGGGACTGGATCACGATTATTGGTTGTATCTGCGCTGATGGGAGCTCAGTAGATCCTGCGATAATCTACGAGGGAGCAGATAGTCTTCGTGATGAATGGGTACGGGATCTAGAGGTGGGAAAACACCAGGTTTTTTGCTGCACCAGCCCATCAGGATGGAGTAATAATGACCTCGCGCTGGGTTGGGTTGAGCAGGTGTTCGATCGGCTCACGAAGGCCAAAGCAAAACGCGACTACAGGATGCTTCTCGTCGATGGGCACGGCAGTCACCTCACGCCTTCCTTCATCGAGTACTGCTATGCCAATCGAATACTACTCGCAGTATTTCCGCCTCACGCCACTCATAGCCTCCAGCCACTCGACGTTGGCGTGTACTCACCTCTAGCAACCGCGTACAGTAACGAGCTCACCAATGTACTCTATAGCGATCAAGGGTTACTCAATATGCGGAAAAGTGATTTCCTACGCATATTTTGGGCGGCATATATATCTGCTTTCATAGCTAACAATATACTGAGTAGTTTTTGAGCTACTGGGATCAATCCGCGCAATCCCGACGTCGTAATAAAACGCTTCAAAACACCACCACCGCGAACCGATATAGATACAGAAATTGGAGAGGAAGGTGATGGAGATAGCTGGAGAGATCTGTTAAAATTATTTGACGCTGCTGTGCCGGATACATCAAAAAATGAAGCCAAATAGCTTAAACAGGCGCTCCATTCATTGCAGATCCAGAACGAGCTTTTACACCATGAAAACGACGAACTGCGGGGTAGTATTACTACCAGAAAACGCCGCAAATCTGATAGAAAGCTTCTTGACCTGCAGCAGCACCAAGAGTATCACAGTACTGCAGTGGTGTGGAGCCTTCGATCGGTGAGGGAGGCCAGAGCCCGGGAGGCAGCAGAACAACTACAGCACCATGAAAAAAAACTCCAAAAAAAACATGAGAGGGAGGAGCGAGCTGCCGTAGCTGCGTACAGAAAACTGATAGCTGCAGAGGCACGGGAGGCTCGCAAAATGACAAGAATAGTGCGGCAGCAGGAGCAGGCTGCGAGGGCTACACAACTAGCTGCCGCGCGCTCAAAAGGCACGAGACCGCGCTGCTGCAACCACACAAAAAGCTCGCGATAAGCAGAATACTACTAAACGAAAAGCTTCATCAACTCAGATTAAAAAAATACCAAAGCGGCGTCGTGTTGTAGAGGCTGAAAGTAGTGGTGGTGATGCGTCAACGCCCGCCAAGCCTCCCACCAAAACCACCACACGCGGCCGCAACGTGCGGTTACCCAGCAAATATCAGTAGATATTAGTTTGCATCTAGTCTCCGTGTTGCTAATGCGAATCGTATCGTTGCTCGCACTGCGTCTATGTCTGGTGCCCATTTCGCATCGTCTGTCGCTGCTTTGCCGCCTAGGTAGAATGACATGTTTCCTCTGTGTATCTGCGTGCACTGCAGCATTTCTATCCGCTGTGTCGTCCACTTTCGGCAACGGAACAGAAAATGCTCTACCGTCTCTGCTGCCTGGCCGCATTCGCATTGGTCTGTTGTTGATGCTTTGATTTGGTATCGGTACGTGTTCAGCTGTGCCATGCCTGTTCTAAGCTGGGCCAGCACGCTGCTCTCTTTCCGCGAAAGCCCGTCGTAGAGTTGTCGCGTGTGCTTTCCTGGCAGTGCCGTGTCGATTCGCTTAGAGTATACTCCTACGTCTGCTGGCACCTTCTTATCTATGCCTTGCTTACGTGCTATATTGTGCGTAGTTGATCGCATTCTAGGGAGTTGTGTCTGTGGACTGGTGTTTGGTCTAGTTGCCGTCTTCGCCTCTCGCTTAGCGAGGCTTGCGAGCTTATTCTCTTCGCTTGCAGGTAGCCATAGCACTGTCACCGTACTACCGTCTCTTCTAAGTGTTCGTACAGTCTTGTAGAACTGGCTGATGTAGCTTTGCCCAGATTGCTGACAAGGCTCTCTAAGTGTGAGCACGGCGGCTTTGTTCCTTGTGATTAGTGCAATGTTGCAGAACCTTAGCTTCTGCAGCCTGCTCAGCGCCTCGGCCATTGCTGCCAGCTCTGCCGAGTACGGGTTCTGTTCCTCTCTTTTGCCCAGTGTAACGGAGAAAGATTGTTTTTCGTTCTGTATGCTGGTCGCGCCTCCCATTCCGACCACCCCATTCCGCGCCGAGCTGCTTACAGCGATGCGTACCGCCCAGTTCGCCTCGAGGCTCTGTGCCGCGCTCTCAACTACGGTCTGCACTCTCTTCTCCCATAGTGCTAAGACACCTGGCCGGATCGTCTCCATCTGCTCCATCTCTATGTTCTTGAGCGCATCTGCTACCTGGAACAGCGGCGAGCGATACTGCCTTCTGAACTTTCGCATCCGCGATGTGTTTCTTCGCAGTGGGTTGGTCTTAGGCAGCGCATGGATGTCGGTCCATAGCTTGACTACCCGCTTCTAGAACCGCTCTTGTGTACTTGGGATATGCGCCTCTGCCTCTGCCACCTACGTTGCTACTGTGAGGAACGTCTCTACGATTGCTTGTGCACCTATTCTTTGCACCCTGTTAATGGGTCTTATAAGCTTATCTTTACAAGTATGCATCCATACGTTCGATGCATAGTCTACTGTCAGCGCGACTGTTGCCGTGAACAACTGTCGTGCCACTGTGGGTGAGAGCCCTCTCAGCCTCCTGAGCTCTAACACTGCTTCCAGTCCCTTCGCGGCTGCTCTTACGATATGCTTATGGTACTTGAGCTTGGCGTCCATGAGCACGCCGAGTATCTTGACGTGGTTCTTGGGTGATACTCTCTGCCCCTTGATCACAAAGGGCTCTGTGGCACTCTTATACGCCTTGCGAGTAAAGTGGATGACAGCCGTCTTTTCTGCTTCAAACGTCGCTCCGCTTCTCCGTTCCCAGTCTAGTGCGTCTCTGATAATGGCGTTGATACTCTCCCTGTTGCTTTGTGCCGTCGGGCCTGTGACCCACGTAGTAAAGTCATTAACGAACGCGATCGCACCTCCGTACGTGTCGATAGGTCGCTGCACGAGATCAGCGTTGAAGAAGAGAAACAGGATTGGCGATAACGGGGACCCTTGCGGCAGACCTGCTTGCGGCAGTCCTTGGACCTTAGAAGCCGGTCCGTTGACCTGGATTGACGTAGTGCGCTCTGAGCAGAATGCCTCTACCCACTTTAGCAGCTTCTGTGGTATGCCTCGTGCTTTTATCCTCTGCAGTAGTCTTTCTTTGCACACCCTGTTGTACGCTCCCTTAACATCAAAGCTAATTAGGCTGACTGTCCGGCGGCCTCGCCACGCGGTGTAAATCTGCTCTTGGAGTAGCACTAGTGCTTGCTTGGCTGATCGCTGCTTGCGCGCTCCGAAGTGGTTGGTGAGTAGAAGCCCGTGTGTCTCTACTATGTGCGAGATTCTCTCTGCCACCACAGACTCTAGCACTTTGCCTAAGGTGGCCAATAGTGAGATCGGTCTCTATGCCTTTGCGATAGTGTAGTCTTCCTTGCTTGGCTTCTTGAGCGGTATGATTTTGGCGTGTCTCTATTGGCTAGGCAGCATTCCTTCCTCTAGCGACTGTCGGAATAGCGCAAGCATATGGTCTTTCACTACTGGCCAGACCTGCTTCCATACGATGACTGGCAGTCCGTCGTCTCTAGGTGCTTTCTATGACTTGGCGGCGTGCAGCTGCCTTTCCACCTTCTCGAGTGTGATGGTCGGCATTTCCACGGGTGCTCTCTGCGGCCTGGCTCCCTCGTCGTCGATACTGCTTGGAAGCGGAGGGAAGAAGGTGTTGAGCAACTCCTCAGCTTGTTCTTCAAAGTCGCTCGTGGTTGTCCCGTCTGTTCTGCGAAGTGCTGGAACCGTCCCGAACCCCTCATTGCCCGCCTTCAGATACTTGGCCGCGTTCCAGATGTTGTCATTGTCCGCCAGGAAGTCATCCCAGTGCTTTCTCTTCTGCTGTCGAATAGCATCATGGTACTGCTTCGACGCTCCTTTTGCCATCTCTTCTAGGCCCGGCTGAGCAACCCCTGTTCGTCTCACGGCTCTCGCTCGGTTCCTCCAGTGCGTGTAGATGCGGCGTAGCTGTGTCAGGTCCTGCGTCCACCACCTCTTTGCGTACGGTAACGGCTTAGCACTGGGTGTTAGTGCATGCACCGCCTCTAGCACCACCGCTATCAGTCTGTCGGTCCTCTGCTGCGTCATGCCCGCTGGCTGAGTCCCGCTGAGCGCTCTGGCGATCCTGTCGTTGATTGCTTTCCACGGTGCGTTCTTGACCTGAAGCCGCTCTTGCTGCCGCGCCACTGGCACGGAGCTGTCAAAGACTGTCTCGATCATTCGGTGGTCAGAGCCGTGTTCGGTGTCGTGGGCGGCGCATCTCAGCACCGTGTCTGCCAGCTCTTTTGACGCTAGCACTAAGTCAATTGTCGTCTCGTACTCTCCACACTGCCATGTCTTGGTGCCGCGCGGGAGCAGGCTGCTGAGCGCGTGTTCTGTCATCAGATCGATGATCGGGTCTGCCTCGCCCTGTCTGACCAACGTCACATTTTCACCTCCCCACAGCTGGTCGTGCTGATTGAAGTCGCCAGCTAGTACAACGTCCACCACCGTACCGGCCCTTCGTCTCGCCTCCGCAATCACTCTATCTATCTTTTTGCATGCGTTTCGCAACGCCTGCGGGTCTCCTCCTAGTATATACACTAACACCACCAACACTCGCCGCTCGTGTAGCCGGATGATCGCTGCTATCAAGTCCAGCGACTCTACCCGTACCTGTTCTGCCTCTATCTTTCTATTCACCCACAGCATGCTCCATATCAGCCACCTTCCTTCTCGCCAGGTCGATGGCACTATCTTGGTCTACTTATGGTGGAGTATGGGAGTCGTCAGCAGCCGACCCTAGATCCTCCGTGCATGCGGCTCCTGGATAGCTACTACCGCCACGTCTTACAGCTCTTCGTCGTTCATTAAGCTATCGTGTACTTCACCTTACTTTCTAATATTAAGCTGGATTATGCGGAATACTCTATTCATGTTAAGGTGGGTATAGTATCCGACAGTTTCTGCTGAATAATTCGTGCGGTCCTCCGCACAATACGCACTTTATCACTACTTCGCTGCAGCTCTTGTGGTGGTGGCCCTCTTTGGCGCATCTCCCGTATCTCTGCGCCTTTCGGCACTGATACGCTTTGTGGCCGAGCTCCTAGTAGTTGTAGCACTGCTCTGGTCGTGGTCGCAGCTCAAATGCGCTTGTTGTGCCGGACTCCCCGCCCGCGTGGAAGAAGCCTTCTGCGATGAGTCTTCTCGCGTCACTTTTCTTAGTCACGTACACCACCATAGATCCGTACGCCTTGGGGACATCTCTCTTGCTGAGCTACGCAATCTTGGCGACTGTCGTTCTATTCTCTTATCCAAAAGCTTCTGCTGCTCCCGCTCTAATCTCATCTTTCTCGTCCAGCACTGCTGTTCTCTTAACGTTGTCTATCTTAACTAGGTAGAGCTCATCGCGCAGCACGCGCGAGCCTGCGCCAATCTTCTCTGCTACTCTCTTAACTAGCTAGTGCTCGTCTTCGTCTCTGCACGCGATCCTGATCCGGCTCTGCGTCGCGTGGTCAACGGTGACCGCCCAGCACCGCCAGTTTTCTCAGTTCTCCATTGTGCGCATCTCTTTTTCAACAGCTGATCTAACCGACACTGCTGACAATCTGCCATTTTCGCCATCTGCCCTAGATATGTCTACGGTAACGCTGGGCACGTCAATAGAAGCGAGGTTAGTTCTAATAGCGTGCTGCTGGCTTGCTAGCGGCGCGGCTGTAGCGTTTAGTCCTGCGGGTGCGCTTGTGGACGCTACCTCAGCCCAGGTACGCGTACTAGAGTTTGTTGCCACGAGGTCATCGACGCGTGTCTTCAGTTCAGCGATCTCGTCAATAAGTTTCACATTATGGTCAATAATAGCTTGCTGGTTCTTTCTAATCTCTCTTGTTTCGCGTTCGAGGTTCTGGATCGTTTCATTCTGCTGCTGGATGATCTTGGTTAACGCGGTAAGTAGATCTTTGTTGGTGGCGGTGCTCTTCCTGGCTTGACGGATAGGTTGGCTGCTTTCGATCTGGATAGTGTCGGAGTCGTCGGCTGATAGGTCTGGCTGTAGTGGTCCCCTGCGGTAGTATTCGTTTTGCTTAGTGGTGTTTCTTGCGCGCCTCTTCAGTGGTGCTAGTAGCTCGGTTGGCAAGGATGTCGCTTCGCGGTCGCGGTCGCGTTCAGGGGTCGAGATGGCCATCTCTCTCATGCGTCCAGATCGCAAACTCATCCACACAACGGCGCAATCGGTTCTCTCGGTCTGTTTCTCTGTTTGGTTTCGGTTGTCGGTTCTGTTTTCCAATGCCGTATAGTTGCAGTTTTTGTACCGTAGCATGCTATGTAAGATGTCTGCGTGCCACACTGCGCACTGTAGCTAGGAACTGCAGCTCAAGGTACTCAGCCCTAGGCAGCTCTTGTTCCCGACTTTGCAGGCAGCTATTGGTCCAGTCGTGTACACGCGCATTGCAGACAGCCGCGCCTTGTATTCCCATTACTGATTCCTTTACAAAGTGACTTACTTATTATTAAATTTGCTATTAAAGGGCTCTTAGCTTAGACTTGTGGAACTTTTACGATAAAGTAATTAACTTTTCATTAAATGTCTGCGGAATAGTGCGCACAGTGTGCGTAGTTAGATAGTATCTTTACGTCTGCACGACTTACATCGCTGCGCACCCTTCCTCGTTAGCATGAGTCTCACGAGACGCTACGATGGCAACCTAGGTAGGACTACTCTACCCGCTAGCACTCTGCTTACGTGCGCAGTAATCTAATATACGTTCATGTAGCGAACGCTGTCTAGCGCAAGTTATGAGGCTGGGCGGCGCAGGATGCTCGATGCGCCTAGCATCCGCTCAGCCTAGTCGCATGCACTGCTTCGACAGGCGGCCTTTACAGCAGCCTAGTGCAACATCCGTCCTTGCGTCGCGGGACACCCGGCGGGCCAAGAACAAGAAAATAAGACTGCAAGGATAACAGGTTCTATAAACATAGCGCTGTATCTTATTAGCTATTTTCGGCCCATGAGGTTTTTCGCTGCACAGGGATGGACGTTGGTTAAGGAATAGATGCCCGTACCAATTATAACGATTTTAGAGAAGGATTCTGTGCTACATATACAATCACCTTGCTCTACTAAATGCATATATACTCAGTAACTCTCTATTCTGTACGAAGCAAGCGCCTCTTACCAGGTTATATCCTAGGACGGAACTAGCTGCCTGCATGGGCTGCATATACTATACAGACAGATTTGCCACTATTATACTATATCTCCAAACATCGACTATGATGCAGAAAGTTCTTTCTTAGGTGCACAGCGACGCGGTAAACTGTGCCGTTGGCACTAGAGTGTCTAGAACTGTTGGGCCGGTGTTGACATCCAGCCTATCATGTTAGATACAACAGATAAAGTGAAAGGTGCATCCTTGGATGTGCATCTTATGCCGCTGCAATAGACCGCGATCAGGACTAAAACTATGCGGAAAACCACAGAATCAATCTGCCGATTAGCTTGAATGCTAGTAACTTTAGATACCGCGGGCTTGGAATATGACGTTAGTGCGGGGTTGAGAAATGCCAAGACGTCAAAAAGCGAAAAGCGGGACCGTCATGGAGCCATGACCACATCTGCCGCCAGCATGACCGCTCTTGTTCAGAAGCCTACGATAAGAACCTGCTCATCCGTTGTATGACGCTATTCCAAACATAGGAAGTAATTAAAGAGATACGATCGCAGCCGCTACCGTTCGGTGTTGCTTTGTTAAGTGCCGAAGGATCTGTTTGTCCAGTTGGATGTTGTGTTAAGATATTTCACAAGTCTACTGATACGGGAATTGCTAATAAACGGCGAGGTACTCTGTAGTTAATACCAATTTTTTTGTATTTACCTGCATCCCTTTAGCGTCCTGGTGGTTGGT